AGGTAGGAGAGCAGCCAAGTGCAGACCTGCATTTACCAGTCCCATGGGGAACTGCTTCCACGGGGCTGCTCCTTCTTTTTCCAAGCTCATTGCCACACCCCTCGTCTGGGTCACACTTGCAGACTACCCAGAAGACCCGTGGGCTGTTTTGACAAAGCCCTCACCTTTCCCCCTGGGCTTGAGCCTGCCTGTCAGCTGCTTTTTTCAGAAGGCACTCCATCTCCTCATGCTGTTGCAAGGCTGCAAGTTTGAAGGGGGTAAATCCCCACTGAAAGGAGAAAGAATCTCCATTAGAAAGACACAGACAAGCTGTGCAGCTGTTGGAAAGAGCAGCTTTAGCCACATGCCAAGGTTACCTGGTTCTGAGCATCACTCTTGGCATGATGCTCCAGTAACAGCCCTGCTACAGCTGTGTTTTTAGAGAGGACAGCCAGGTGAAGGGCAGTGTTGCCGTCAGCGTCTGCCAGATTGGGGTCGGCACCGTGTGCCAGCAGAAGAGCAACACATTCTTCCTGCTCCTGCTGGACTGCCTGGGAACAACACACCAAAAGGAAATGACTCCCAACTTTTACATCCCCCTCTGTCACAACTCCCTCAGCTCCTGAACGCTGCCATAGAAGACCATCTGCAAAGATCAGCTAACAGAGGCCTGTGCCGTGCCCATTGCAATGGGTGTGTTTCTATGGCCCTGCCCTGCAAGGAATCCTGCCAGACACCTCCCCTTTAACACACCAGCACTGAGCCCCACCGACAAGCTCCCAAGGCATTCCACACACCTTCATCAGGGCCGTTCTCTTGAAGCTGTCAGCGAGGTTGGGCTGGCTGTTCTTTCTTAGCAGATATCTGACGACATCTGCATGGCCATTGGCCGAAGCCAGATGCAGAGGTGTCCTAAAAATTAAACAGACGCTCTTAACCCAGACAGACAAAGGATGAGCCCAAGCTGTGTCTCTACCCAGCACCCTGGGGACCCTGCCCGGACTCTGCTCCTCCCGCTCGCTGCTGCTGCTGCTGCTGCTGCTGCTGCTGCTGCTGCTGCAGCCTGTGCTGATGAGCCAGAGGGCAGAAGAGAAGAGGTGAGGGCTGAGCAGCTGCAGAACAGCCCTGCAGAGAGACCACGGCCAAGCGGCAGGTGGGCAACAGGCGTTTCCAACAGCGCTGGAGCCCGGCCGGCAGCTCCAAGCAGTGAAAAGCTCAAGAGTTCCCTCTCCCAGCTGACAGGGCAAATGTCACTTTTCAAGCCTTGTCCTTAAGAGAGGGCTGCCCAGGACTACTGCAGCTTGGCTCAGGAGCAGCCCAGGGGTGCCATCAGCGTGGCCCAGAACTCACCGCATCTCCTGGTCTGGCCTGTCGATGCCGACTACCTTGACGTACCAGCGCCAGCGCCTCAGCCAGCCCAGGTCGCCGCGGGCGGCCGCGCGGTGCAGCCTGCCCAGCCCCTGCTCCCGGAGCTGGGAGGTGCTGCTGGAGCTGGTGGCAGCCCAGGGCTGCCCGCTGGTGCTGCCGGATGGCGACTGCCGTCGCTTCTTGCTGAGAAGCCACGGCATGGCCCTGCTTGCAGCTCCCAGCAGCAGGAAGGGCAAGAAGCCCCCGGCGGGCTGCCGGGTGCCAAGTGGGGGTGAGGAATGGGACGAGGGTGAGGTTTAGGGTGAGGGTGACAAAGGGGACAAGGACAAGAATAAGGACGGGCACAGGGTAGAAAGCACAAGGCGGACGAGGTCGCCCTGTGCAGTGGTCGTGGCCTGCAGCTGCCAAGACGGCGATCCAGGCGCGCAACGAACGCTCCCCGAGCGGGATGTGCTGCTGCTCCCCGAGAGGCTCCAGCAGCTCTGAGCGCCGGCTGCGGGCACCAACAAAGCCGTGCCCGACTGGCGCCTGTGACATCACAATGGCTGGGGGAAGGCTCAGCACGTCAGCGTGGGCTGTGACAGAGGCCACGGTGCAGGTGGGGCCGGGCGGGACATGGCAGGGCGGGGCAGGTGTGAGGGCGGCCCTGCTGGGCCTGGGGGGAAGGAGGCGGCCTGGGCCTTGTGAGGGTGGCGGTCACATGTCCTCCAGAGGGTTTCTAAGGAGGCATTTTGCTTTGAAATAAACAGATTTGACTGCTTGCCAACTGGCTGCTGGGTCGTGTCTTTTCTATTCTATTAATATACCACACCAGGACAATTCCCCAACTCCTTTGTCTTGTCCCTCTTGAAGAGCAGACACCTCACCCCCCTCCCCCTCGCAACTGCTCTCACCTGCTGCTTTGCCAGATGCCAACAGTGAATTTCTGCTCTGCTGCTCCACCAGCCAACGGGCAGCACACAGCAGGGCAGGAAGAAACTTTCAAACACATCTTGTCCCACTTTGTCCCAATGACAACACCAAGTGAAGGCCCAGAAGTTCTGCACCACCTGAGCCGTCTTCAGGATCCCCTGCCTTGGCCCTCCCTTTGTCACACCCAGGGCCTAACACTAACCCTAAACCCTAACCCTAACTAACTAACCCTAACCCTAACCCTAACCCTGACCCTGACCCTAACCCTAACCCTGACTCCGATCCTAACCCTAACCCCTAACCTTGACCCTGACCCTGACTCTAACCCTAACCCTCAGCCTAACCCTAACTCTAAGCCTAACCCCAACCCCTAACTCTAACCACTAACCCCTAACCCATAACCCACAACCCATAACCCACAACCCATAGCCCACAACCCATAACTCATAAGCCGTAACCCCTGACCCCTAACCCGTAACGCCAACCTGTAACCCGTAATCCGAACCTGAACCCCAACAGTAATTGGGTGTTGGGATTGGGAATTGTATCGTGGTGTTGCCATGGGAATTGGCCATTAGGGTCAGCAGGTGGTTTGTGTGTGGTTTGGGATGGGTTAGGGTTTGGGTGTGCTTGGTTAGGATTTGTGCTTTAGGGTTTCTGTGGTCATTCTGTTTGGTTGGATTGTTTAGGGTGGTTTTTTTGGGGTCCTGGGCAGTGTTTGGGTTGTGATCTGGGTGGTTTTTTCTGGTATTTTTTTTTAATTTTTTAAAACAATTTTTTTTTGTGCAGTTCTTTTGTTGTCCAGTAGGTGCAGTGTTTGTAGTGATTTTTTGTTGCAGTTCCTGTGTTTTGTGGGTAGGTGCCATGTTCAGTGTTTGGGATGTGTGCAATCACTTTTATATGTCAATAGGTGGGAGTGTTGCTGCGTGGTTTTGCAGTTATTGGATCCTTGGTTAAAAAAAGTTGTTTAATAGCATAGTTTGTCCAAAAAAATTAGATCATTGGGTAATTTGTAGGTATGTGGTGAAAAGTATTAATTATCTACGTTGGTAATTGGGAACTAATTGGGGTGTGGTGGAAAAAAATTAGTTTTGTAATAATATCATTAGCAACTAATTTTGGTGTAGTGGAAAGAATTAATGAGTTAATGGGGTCATTAGGGACTACTTTGGTAATTAGCAGATAATTAGGGTTTGGCATAAAAATTCATTGTGTGATGAGGTAATTACGAAGTAGTTAAGGTTTGGCAAGAAAATTAATTAGTGGGCTATGTAGTAATTACTTTTACAATTAGCTCATTTGGTGGTATGTAGGAGGCCGTGGAAAACATTAATTATGTGATTAGGTCATTAGGTGGTAGTTAGGAGGTGGTGCAAAAAGTTAATTAGGGAATTAGCTTGCCGAGTCCTAATTAGTGGGAGGTGCAAAAAATTAATTGGCTAATTAGGTTGTTGCCTGCTTAGTAGTGGGTGGTGCAGAAAATTAATTAGCTAGTTAGCTTGTTGGCTGGTAATTAGTGGGGTGTGGAAAGAAACTAATTCTGTTGTTAGCTCATCAGCTGTTAATTAGAGGCTGGTGAAAAATAATTAATTATGCCATTAGGTCATTATGTGGTAATTAGGGTGTGGTGGAAAAAAGTTAGTTGCCTTGTTAGCTCATCAGGTGCTGATCAGTGGGTTGTGGAACAAAATTAGTTAATTAGTTAGTTACTTCATTCGGTAATTAGTCCTTAATTAGACATTTATTCCTCGTTACTTAGTGGTGTAGGTGTGCATAAGGTGTGAGCTATCTGATTATTGTATGAGGGGGGCTATTAAGGTGCTGTCTAGTATATATAAAAAGAATAAAAATAATAAGTTTTATGCAGCAGTATGGGGACTGGCTTGCTCCTGGGGAGTAAATCTTAAAAATAATTAAATTTAAAATTTATTTTAAAGATTTACTCCCTGGGAGCAAGCCAGCCCCCGTACTGCTGCTTTTTTAAACTAAGCAAAGTGAGCAAAAGAAAAGCAAGACAAGAAACTAAGAGAAAAGGCAAGAGAAAAGGCAAGAGAAAAGGCAAGAGAGAGAAATAACTAAGAGAAATAACTGAGAGGGAACAGAGTAAAGAAAGAAGAGAGATGAAGAGGAGAAAGGGAAAGAAGTGAAGAGAAGAAAGAAATAGAGAAAAGACTACATGACACAAAATAAAGACAGGAGCCAAAGAGGGGGAAAAACCCCCACAACTTTATTGCAACTTTATTGAATGACGGCTCGTGACCTTGTGAAATGACACAAGTTACAGGCACGTTACAAGGGACAAGTTACTCTCCAGGTGAGCATCCAGTGAAACAGGAGCCAGGCCTAGAAGAGTTAACTGAGATATCTTGGCCTGCTAAGAAACCTCAATACCTGTTTTGCTGGAAGAACATTTGAGGAGCACTGGTTAATCTCATGTTCTGTTCTGCTCACTGGACCAAAGGCCTTATTAGAGAAAGAACAGGAGTAGGACACACACAGGAATAAATTAGGTAAACTGGACGTTTGAATAAGATCTAGAAGGCCCAGAGCCAGGATTTTGCAAGCTTGAAGAATTCAGGTCACCTCATTGAAGAGGTCAGATTGAGGAAGACGTCCATGGCGACCAGCAGAGGGGTGAAGGCTTGAGCAGAAGACCCCCACAGTAGAAGACTGTGCATGTCTGGAAAGACTCTGCCCAGAGACCAGCCTGCTTATTAATATGTTGTGATGGTTTCAGTCTAGGCCTTCCTGGAGACCAGCTTGTAACCAGGAAGGAACTAGGATACTTACCTGGCAGGGGAGACACCATGATCAGGCAGGTGGTTTTCCCAGGGCGAGGCTCATCCCTTGCACTCCGGGTGTGCTGACCCCTGCGATTTCCCCAAATGCGGGAAACTCGACTGCTAGTGTTGTAGTGGTTTGAGCCAGGTTTTCCCCCTGAAGCTGAAAGTGGTAACCCCTTGGGTGTGACCCTCGGGGCTTGACCCAATCGGTGCTCCTACAAAATATAAACATATCTCTGGAGACCGGAAGAGAAGCAGTGGCACTTGTTGTTAGAAGAAGAGGTGGCCATGTTGTAGAGGCCACGAGGAGAAGGGGCTCTGGCCCCTTGGGGGCCTCTGCCCCCCCAGCCCCTGGTTGGGGGGCTGCAGGGACTCAGAACAGTGTCAGACTGGACTGAGTGCCTGTGGCTGAGAAGCTGGGGGAGTTTCTCCCCGGTAGGAGCAGTGGGAGACGCTGGGAGCAGCAGCGGAGACAGCAGCGTACCGGAGCAGTGGCAGAAGGCCAAGCAGATAAGAAGCAGCAGAAGCCGGTATGCAGCTAAGACAGACACAGAGGTGTCTGAGGAGAAGGAAAAGCAGCAACAAGACAAGAGACCCGAGCCAGCAGCAGGAAGAGAGTTTCGGAGGGTAAGAACTGGACAAACCAAAACCCCCAAACTCGCTAGAGACCCCTCTGAGAAAGAGGAGGAGGTGGTGGACTGAGTGGAGTCCTAAAGTGCAGTATGCACTACAGAGAGGAGCTAAGAAGCTTCGGCCTCCTGAGAGCTCAGCCAGGATGGCCAAAGGAATATGTGTGGAGGGGGTGACCTTGGGCTTCCCCCCCCCTCCTTGCTGCAGCTTCAGAGAAGCTAACAGCCATCTTGAGGCAGAGCACAGAAGCTCTGTGAAGGGGCTTGATTTCCCCTGAAGATACCAGACTGTCACGAAGACCCCCGTGCTTCGTGATATGACCGTGGTGACGCACCCGTGTCTGGGGTACCACAGCCCACGGAAAGACCCCCGTTTTGAAGACAGAGGGCCGAGAGAGGCTTGGAGGCCTCCCTCGTGTGTGCTGGCAGAGAGCCAGCAACTGCTGCCTGGAAAA